TGCCGGGGAAGGAGGGACAATCTCCTCCTGTACCAGTCAGATCTGATTTGACGGTACACTCACACAAAAATAATAAAATAAAATTTAAAAAAAAAAATCAAACCAAACCAAATCAAACCAAACCACAGGATCTTGCTCATAAGCACTTCACTGTTTAATGGAAAAGAACTAAACAAGGAAGATCAGTCTGCGTTTTTCATCTTGCCTGGACCCACAATCACCACCCTTGGTAACAGCTGTTAGAAATCAAACACATGTTACGTTGGGGAAGTCCATTGTCAAGGACATCTCCAAGATGCTAAGGAGCACGATATCAGCTTAAAAGCTAAGTGCACCGGAGTCAAGCCATGGTCTTCTCAATGACTTCGTATGCCTCGGAAAGTTGGACAATGGCAAAGGTTGAAAGAAGAGGAGTTGATGCCTTTGTGTTGTAGTGTTGGAGAAGAGTGCTGAGAATCGCATGGACTGCCCAAAGAATGAACAAATACCTAAATATGTCTTGGAGGAAGTGGAACCAGGGTGTTCCTTAGAGGCATGGGTAGTTAAACTTCATCTCACACATACTTTGGACATGTTGTTTGAAGGACCAGTCCTTGGAAAAAGACATCAGGCATGGAAAGGTGGAGGGTCAGAAAAAGAGAGGAAGACCCGCAATGAGATAGATTGACATAGTGACTGTAACAGTGGGCTCAAGTGTATCAGAGATAATGAGGCTGACACAGGACAGGGCAGGGTTCAGATCACAGGGTCCTAGTTGACCTGATGACACTTAACTACAACATAGAAAACAGGACTTTTTTGTCTGAATCTCAAGTTTCTGTATTGAACCTGTGTCTTTCCAGCCTGGCAGAAAACTGTGCCCTCAGTCATGTTTTAAGGTTTTTTTCAAAGTTTTTTGAATATTCGATGCTTATATAGGAGAGCTCTGGTGGCCTAGTGGTAAGAAGCTGTGCTACAGCCTCCAAAGGCAGGTGGTTCAAATGCACCAGATGCTCCTTGGGAGAAGATAGGCGATCTCCTCCTGTGGAATTTACTGGCTCTGAAAACCCCCTGGAGGGTCAGCTATGAATTGGCCCTGACTTGAAGGCACACAACAACAAGGGCTATATCGGTCAAGGTCTTTGGGAGGAGAGATTATTGTTCCTTTACTCATGTGTCCTCTGATGTTTCAGTTGAATCTCTCTTGAGTCTGGCTACCCCAGACCTTAATTAATGTTTTACATGTTATTTTTCTGCAAGGCTGTTCCATGGATGCATATGCCTGTCACAGTGATGGATAACCTTTCTTACATACATATTTACATAATCACAAAACACTTAATTATGCTCATGCAAAACCTATACTTCTACCAGGAAGCAGAAGTCAGAACAGAGCAGGGAGGATCAGGAAATATATGTGTCAGGGATACATCCTAGTACTATACCTTTTCAATCGATATGAAGAACAGATCATTCGAGAGGCTGGACTTCATGAAGAGGAATGTGGAATCAGGATTAGAGGAAGACTCATCACCAACCTGCATTATGCAATGACACAACCTTGCTTGCTGAAACTGAAGAGGACTTGAAGCATTTGCTTCAGAAAGTCAAGGACTATAGTCTTCAATATGGATTGAAGCTCAACATTAAGAAGACAACGATTCTCTCCCCTGGGCCAATTGGTAGCTTTATGACAGATGGAGAAGAGAATGAGATTGTTAACTTCAGCTTGCTTGGTACTGCAGTCAACACTCTTGGCACCAGCAGTCAGAAAATAAAAAAACGAATTGCATTGGGAAAGTTGGCTGTCAGGGACCTCTCTAGAGTCCTGAAGAACAATGATGTCAGTCTGCAGACTAAGGTGCATCTGATCCAGACCATGGCTTTTGCAGTTACTTGCTATGCATCTGAGAGCTCGACAATAACTAAGGATGATAGAAACAGGATCAATGTTTTTGAGTTGTGGTCCTGGAGAAGAGTGTTGAACATACTGTGGACTGCCAGGAGAACTAACAAGTCTGTCCTGGAGAGGGTGAAATCTAGCTGCTTCCTGGAGGTGAGGATTTTGAAGCTTTATCTCACATACTATACTTTGGCCACATGGCCAGAAGGGACCAGTCCTTGGAGAGAGCTGCTTAGAAGGGTAGAGGGACAGTGCAAGACAGGAAGACCCAGGATGAGATGAATTGACTCAGTGACTAGAGAAATGGGATTAGGTCTGTCCGAGACAATGGGATTAGCAGGGTTCAGAGCCAATTTACATATGGTCACTATGAGTTACAGGCAACTCTATGGCAGATAACAACAGGAAGCTTTAAAGACATACTGAAGTATAATCCACACTATGCCAATTCAAGCAGAAACTTTAAGGATGGGACCTGAGTTTTTAAATGTTTGTAAGTTGCTTTAGAATATTCTAATATGTAGGCCAAGATTGAGACCTCTTGAAACGAAATATTTACCCCTTTTTGCTTAGGATCTCCTCTCCCTCTTCCATTATGACAAGAAAGCAGCTTACTCCTCCTGATAGGCAGCCTTCTTTAATCCCACTACCTGTACAAGAAATAGATCTATTTTAAGTCTGGGGACAGCCTCATATGTTTTGTGTTTCAGGACAAGGCACTGGAATTTGTGCTTTTCTGCTCACTCACTTCCTTTCCAAGAGGATGAGCTTAGATTCTGGATGGGAGAGGGAGAGGGAGAGGGAGAGGGAGAGA